TTTATCGAACCCATTCAGAATGAGAAACCGACATTTCTACCCTTGTCCGGAATGACGGTTTTCATCGTCATGGGCGACAACAAGGCAATGGTAAACTTTTGTGCTAAATTATCATACAACCATGGAAAAGTGCGACCGGAAAAGTGATGCGAAAATGGAGGAGCGATGGCCAAATGCAAATTCTTGTCCCCGAAATGGTCAAGATACTCAGTGGTATTTACATCCTCGAAGAATATAGAAAAAAAACATTTCTGAGCATAGTGTTGCAGTAAGACTCCTCCGGTGAGTAAGTAATGGTCACATTCTTGCGACCAAGATCGGTCACGTGCCATATTCAGTCATGTACAAGGAGAATTAGGTGCATCTTACACAGGGGTGAAGGCGTCCAACCGTGTCCGACTTGAGTGCATCGGCTGCTGTTTTCGAATGTCTTGAGATGGCGTTCTCTCTGCGAACCTTTTGTCAACAGGAATTTGAAGTGGCATACAAAATCCCTTGGTAGATGGTCCGAACGAAAGCAAGCAGTTGACCTCGAGTTGACATCTGACTCAACTCTGTAGTTTGACCTGGCATCCAGGCATTCATCATCATCATCATCATCATCATCCAGACATTAGGGCAACCTGAACCAGCATAAGCTTGTATGCGGTTCACGACTGATAAATCGAATAAGGGAGGAACTGAGACTAGTGTTCGCACTTTTTTAAGCCTGTTATTCCCTGTTGTTTTTCAAAGCGTTAGATAAAGAAGTCCCTGAAGAAATATCGTCAGTCTGTGCAGCAAGATCTACAGAAAGCGTGCCGGCCTCCTATCACATTCATTCCACCCGACCGCACGCGACCAATAACAAACGTCGCCCACTCCTACAGGTCTAAAAGTAAAACACTCTTGCTGCAACGCTATGTCTAAGGAAGCACGAGTAATGAGATACTGCCGAAGCCTACAAAAGAGCAGTCGGGATGCAGAGGTTGGGTTCGAACCACGGACTCTCTGGACAGTAAGTTCGGGCACTAACCACTGAGCTACCTCTTCTCATAGCTCACAGCGGTCGTATTCATACACATAGCTGGGCGGGAGAAAAGTTCGGCAAATACTTTTGGAGCATCGTAGTTTTCTCACAATGGACTGATTCGATGAGTGAGTTTGTTTCTGTTCAGCCGCTTTGCACAGTGAATGGGGAAAGAGAATTCTATCCCTCCAGCGAGCGCTAGCACAAGGACTTGTTTCAACTGGCATACAGGGTGGTGCGAACAGTATCATCGTGACTGAGAGCCATGCATACTGGCGCTTAGTTCCCATAAAAAACAACCAGGAAATAATGCCGCAGTGAAGAAAGGGGTATGGAGTTAGTGCAAGAACACCCCGTGTCGTAAGAAAATACGAAGAAATGCATCGTGATAAGCAAATCTGAGCATCATGTGGGAGTGACGGGGAATCCTTGTTCCTGACAAAGCGTCGCCGACCACACAAATTTGAGCTAGAAAGAGACAGTCAGTGAAGTCGTTTAAGTACCAAGCCCCTAAACTTATTTTTTCGACATCCAATGCCTTTAGCTGTTCGTTAGAGCGCCCTACGGTTATTCGGACACAGAAAAGAGCAAGCATGATGCATAAACCGAGTGCGACTGGGTTGGGACCGGCGATATTGTCTTTGCTGCCGAGGTTTAGAATGTATGAAAATCGGCTAATTTACTGGGCCGTGGTAAAACTAAAAGGAACCATTGGTAAAGATTGTCAGGAATAGCTGAAGATATCAGCGAAGTATTTTGAGGACATATTGAAGCAGATTCACAGAATATATCATAGGAAGTCCATCGACGAAACGGTTTTCTAGGTCGCGTAGAATTTTGTCCATCGCCCACTTCTGATGTTCTTATATCGAGCATATGTTGAAACAAAAAGCACTTTTCCATTCCCGATTATCATGAGTGGGCCACACTTCGACAAAACTGTGTGGGACTTCTGCGCTACGGCACCAGTGTTGGACACTAATGTCATGCTGCCAAAGGCGATGCTGTTGCTACCAATCCACTAATAATAAATAATAATCGTTCAGCTGTATCACCCTTTCGGTGCCCAACTGCCATACCACCCGAAACAAGCACGACGGCTGGGATACTGCCAAGTTATCCAAGCCTAGACAGGAGAAGTCCAGATACAAAGGTCAGCTTCGAACCACGGAACTTCCGTTCATTAAATCCGCTCTCTAACGACTGAACCATCTCACCACAAGTGCCAATCCACTGCCTTCACCAGAATAGGACCATACTTCCGACCATAACCCTCGTTCTTACAACACTCTTAATAGAAACGTAACATGGATATCAGGTGCATTGCGGTGTTGATTAATCTACTTTTAACAGATGAGCAGAGATCGGGTTGGCAAACTACGCTGCATCAGGGACGAAACTCCCTGATTCTTAACAGATGAGCAGAGCTCGGGTTGGCGAACTGCGCTGCATCAGGGACGAAACTCCCTGATTCGAGGAATTATTCAGTCTACATTGAATAGATGGTCAACAATCGAGGTGACATAATCAGTGCGTTATTAGGATGCGCAACGACGGGTCAGTAGTCGTACATTACTTAGTTTTGCGTGTGTAAACATACGTGATGCTAGCCGGGGCTGACCCTCAATCACGGTTGGTTGTTTTGTCGGAAGGTTAAACTGGTTGGTCTGTTAAACTGTCTCTTGATTGGTCGACGACCACGTGACCTTTGAGCTTGGCCTCTCCGCCCGATCAAACAACTAATCGTGATAAGTCAGCCCCGGCTAGCAGCACATATTTCAACGCACACACAAACACTACTCAACGCACAACTACCGACTCGCCATTACTCACCCTAACAGCCCACTGATGATATCACCTCAAGTGGTGATGAGACGTTTACAGCCAAATTGTCCAGCTTTGGTCTCTTGCTACAGCAAATTACATATTGTGGGTGCAAAATACACCATAGAAAGGCTGAGATTTGGGTTTCTAAGTGCCCCGATGAAGGGATGACCGTGGCATAATTTAAGTGTTAACGAAGGCGTGCTATATTGGGACATACACGCAACCAGTGTACTATCACAGACAGACTAAACGAGTTCGCTACACAATACACTGAGAATGTCAGCTCGACTGGCGATGAAACGTCCTCCACCGAATTACCCGGTTCAGCGAACAAACCAACGACAGATGCCTAAATTCCGGTAGTTCGGATGAGTCAATTGGCCGCTGATCGGTGGTGGTTGATTTGTCCGCCGTCTCTTCACCATGCGTGGGGGCATCGTGAGTACGTGGTTGGGTAGGTGATTCCTCCGTTTCTACTCGAGTTTATATAGCTTCCGAAAAGGGGTTAGTGACTTCGACGTGACAGTAAGTTTGGGGACTCGGTAGTACGTAGTTTGTTCAATAACTCTGGGATTTAGGTTGAATTGTGGTCCAATAATCTCGCACCCGGTTGCATTGCAAATTTTGCGACGAGTCATGTACTGCCGCAGCAACAACTCTGGTTACCACAAGCGAGAATGCACCCGGACACTCTTTAAGCGGACTGAAATTAACACATCACGGAATCCAAACCTGAAGAAAAACCTCCAAACAGGGCCTTCCGAGAAACTTAATTTGAAGGTCTTGGAAAAAACGTAGCCCGATCAACTCAACAACACACGATGGAAAACGGATTGCAATCTCGGAGACGACCGCAAGACGGCTACAACATGACATAGAAGTAGGATGTAAATCTACGGACAATTTGGGAAAGCACTATCAAAACTAAAGGAGAACGGTGCTACGTATAAAATTCAACGGAAGGACTGTGAAAACAGGATAAACAAGAAGAGAACTATCCACCAGAATGCACGAACACCAACTTGCCGCCAAACAATATCACCAATGCTCGCTCGACTCTGTGCAAGAATATCAGGAAGAAAATAAACTCAACTGGGACAGTGTCTATATACTAGCCCCAGCAAGAACGAAAAACAAACTTGAATTCATGGAGGCGTGGTATTCAACTGCAAAAGCCATCGACAGGCACACTGAAAATCGATCCAATCTATATCGTTCTCAGGAACACAGAAGTTCGAAGCATCCGAATGCGAAACCACCGAAAATATCAGTCGTTTAGTCGTAGCACCCTTCCGGTGCCTGACTGCCATGCCACCCGAAGTTTGCACGAGGGCTGGGATACTGCCAGGTTGGCCATGCCTAGACAGGGGAAGTCGAGAGGCAGAGGTCGGATTCGAACCACAGACCTTGCGGTCAGTAAATTCGCGCTCTAACCACTTGAGCCAACTCGTCCTGAAAAAATCAATAGAATCCACTATGAGGAAACAAAACTCCGGATAAAATCGCAACTACGGGAATGCACACCCAAGCCAAATGAACAACAAGTGGAAGTCGCATCGAGTTATCTCACGGACTGGTTAAGAACCACATCACATCAGGAATGAAGAACTGGCCAAACAAATCAAAGAGAAACGACGGAAAATAGAAGGTGCTCTATCGACCGATTCAATGACCGAAAGCGCACCTGGAGCTAACATACAAAAAGGCAAAATGCACCGATCAGAATAAAGGAACGAACCTACTGGAATGAAGGTACTCAACCAACCAACCGCGGGCCAAACAATCGGGGCACGACGCGACCCAACGCCCAAATTATACAATACCAACAACTAATCAAATCGCAGTTACTAGCTGCCCTTCAGAACTCATATAAACGCGAGCAGAAATGGAAGAATGACCTCAGTTACGCATTGACAATGTCCCCAATGATGGTGAAGAGACGTTTACAAACCAATTACCAGTCGCGATGGATAGATCAACCGCCACCTGACCAACAGCCACACAGAGGAACAGCGCACGTGATGTTTCTGACCAGTTTTGGCGCTGATTCGGTGTTCGGCAGCAACTGAAACCTTAGAAAAAACAACGACCGAAGTACTTTTAAGTGGCTTAGATATCAGTAGGAGAAGTCAAATTATTGACGGTTCGGTTTGAACCACGGTAGGTCAGTCTGAAGCGTTATCGGTAACGAACACAGTGTAGTATCAGAGGGCACTGAGAAAGCTGCCAAGAGCAAAGCAGTTCACAGTAGTTGGTTCAGACGCCGCTAGAAGAAACGGGAATTTGAAAACAACACGAGCGGAACACGACTCGGTTTCACTGTGAGCCAAACGTTTCCGGAAGAAATCCTGCAACTGACAACGATCATTGATCTCGATCACCCAGATCAAACTGAGAGCACGTGATCGAATCCAAGAAACACATGGCAGGGCTATATGGTATGTAATAAATAAGGCGACTAGGTGCACGAAAGAGCACTGAAAATATTCAAGCAAGCACCTAATTTCGTGTATATACATGTCGAACTGAAGAACATTGTGCTCACCACCAATAAAGACTGATAAAGCACAAAATAAAATCAATGGAACGACGAAAACTGAGCAAAAAGTAGCTGACAACATGAAAGAAAATCGTGAAGAAATTCACCGCTCTGAAAAATGTCTACAGCGTTCGATGAATCACATAAACGTCAGATTCCGGATTCAATAGGCTGATTCTTTCGAGCGAGGTTGGAGCTCCTCCGTACGAAAGTGTAGTCGCCCTGATGATCGGGATCCATTGTATGGTTGTACAGTGGTCTAATTTCAGCCTAGGAAATGGCGATCGTGACATTTTCCGGAGTCATGGCATCCTGCATGGTTGTATAGGGAATATGAAATGAGCAGGTAAGGACGGAAAATATTACGTCAGGACAAAGGAGTCACATCACAGCAGTCCAGACCATACTACACACAACACACAAGCCCATAGCAGGCCTGAAAAATGGGACGCGAGAATCCCTAGAAGTCTCCCATCTGTGGAGGACGCTAACCCTGGCAGAGGGGTATGAAGGAGATTACAAAGCGTTTGGGTGTTGTCGGTGCTACTCGCCTTCCGGGATGGGGCCCGTGTGATCCTCACTGCGCCTGGTTGGAAACGCTGCAAAATATGGCTTCCAACCGACGTCAGTGGCAATCTTGTTGTCAGTTGCTATCTAGATTGCCTGAATGAGTGCCTGGAGGTGTAGACACCTCGGAATGATTGTAGTAAGCTAGCACGAAGTCCTTTTCAGTTCACCTTTATTCTTCTCTTCGCAAACAAATCATGGTTGTACGCCAGCGAAGCATCGGTGTTGAACACCGATGTCATGCTGTCGATGATGATGACGCCTTCTGTGGAGATACTGCAGTGATGAAAATGATGCCGGTGATAATGAGTGAAGCACTGGTGTCCTACAACGACGTTGTCACCTATGATAATTATGCTGATGATGCTAATGTAGTGAGTCGGAGTCAAAAAGATGCTGAGGTTTGCATAGCAGTTGTAGCGGGTACAACGAGTGCGGTATCAGGTGGTGAGGCGACCTCGTGGAAACTGATGGTCAAGCGCAGCGTTCTCTTCCCTTAGGGTCCACAACCATTGGTGATGTGACGCAGTGGTGTAGTTCTCCCACAGAATCTCGGGTGGTTTGGTGCGACATTGTGTTGTGTAAACAGTCATGGAATGGTATTTCGCGGTTTGAGGATGCAACCGATATCCTCAACCTCATGATCAAGGTATCAAAATCGGTCAGTGGATTTTAACTGAACAATTAGTATGCGCACTCAAAGTATACATCATACTCACGTCCAACGTCGGGGATTGAAAACATAACACTTAAGTTAAGTCGATTGTACATTCGACTGATGCACTCATGACCGAGATAAGACCATATACCTGGTGGGCCTGCAGATAGGCGAAAGCGGTGGTAGGCTATCAAGAATTCTCTAGCAACCATAAATAAGTAGATCCCGGTCCCCTTTCATTACACTGATTATCAACCAACCGTAGTATTCAGCTAGAAAAAGGGAATGTTGCGAATCCAGGGGAATGCGATGTAGCCCGTTGCTGTACGGGCTATCATTTATTCCAAATCTTTGTGTTGCTAGACGGATATCAGACTAGTAGACAAGACTGCTTCAGTGATTCAGTCACGGGAACTTTAGATATTCAGTGCGGACCACTGGTTGACCGAATGTCAGTGGGACCATGTGTAATTAATGGACACAGTTGGTTAGTACGGATAGCACACATATTCGCTACGCAGTAGGTTTGGAATTCTGACGAATAGTGACAAACCCAACATCGCAAGAGACAGAGTCACGTGGGGTTTGTCCTTTGAGGAAACCAACATTACACTGGGGAGCGTAACTGACAGAAGAGAAATTTTTCCTATCGCACCGGATCTAATATCATAGGCCAGTCGAGCTATCTGGTTCTGTCCTCAGAGAGCATCTTCGGGGGATTTTGAAAAAGCCATCTTTACCATCCTTTACCAGTAAAGACGGTACCATACACATGGCGCACTGAGACGGTGGTAAATAGCTAGAATGCGACTCACGCAGCTAAACCAACCGCTGACAGCCAAATTAATTACCGGCCAAACGAATTTAACGAGTTTACTGATTTATCCTCTTACAGGAGATAATTACAACAAACTGGAGCACGGTGTGACGGGATGGTGTGTCCGCGTGTTCACGGCCTAAACTGCGCGAAATGAAAGTACATCAATGAAGCAATAGTACAGAACATTTCAGTATTGCTTCTGTTTGAAGAGTAAAATGATCAGTTGGCTTATGTTAGGTCAATCTCGTCGAGGAGCTATTGCAAAGGAGAAATTCCTAGAGCTGTCCATTCAGTTTTTTTCATGTAGGAGCACTGTATAAGCTGTTATAGAGCGATGGATGAGGGTGCTTTTGAAATTCAACGGCTATTGGCCATTTTTTTCGTAAATTTAGCCTAGTTTCGTGTTTTCAGTATTCCAAACACAGTCCATGGCTCTACCAACTCACCTACAATGATTTATGTGGGCTGAGAAACTGTGTTTATTTCCTTCACTCGACTGGCTATATCAATCGCCATTAAGTCAACCCATGATCCACGCGGTTTCACCGATCATGAACCGTCCCTTCACTGCCTTATTCACGTGATTCTATCCATCTGTCTAATGTCCGATTACCGGCAGCATAAATTCAAGGAAAATGAGAACATCTCCAATGGACTACTCCAATTCTCCCTGAGCTCCAAACGGCTTCATCAGTGGGATGGGGTAAACGATGTTCTACCCGAATCTCAGAGATTCGGGAGCTGCACACTAATGAGGATTCCTAACAAGTATGAAATGAGTATCCAAGGCGCCCGTACATCCAAGCTATTGCCTCCAATGTACAGCTCTCCTCACAAGTAAAAATCCACTGAGAACCCTGTATTTGCGCACCAATTATATCAGCTACCACCCCGATGCGCGGCTATCTACCCCATCTCCCCAAATCATCGGTGAACGAAACTGTGACAACCAGAGCCACTGTACGGCAAGTAAGTGGTTCTTACAGCTGATGACGATAACAAGGCTGTCCAACTATGAAGGATGAAATTCAGAATAGGGACCTAAAAATCCATTCTCTAATTATAATACTGAGTTACCTGTCCACCTTTGAGACACGTGCGTGCGAACACACGGCTACGATAGTGTCTCATCGGACATATACTGCTTTGAAACAGGGAATAAAGTTTCGCATGCTTTACAGTTGGCATAAAAAGAATTTCGTTAGCGGCTAACGGCAATTTAAAGGTTTGATGTGCGCCTTTTTGATGATATAAGGATGGGTTAAATTGCCTAATAATCCTTGCCTCGGTCAATTAATCTTTAAAGAAAGGTCTGAAAAGATTTTGCACCCGTTAAATTGCCGGACGATTCCACCAGCCTCATCTTGTGGCCGATGGCACGTAGCTGGTCAATTCTCGGACAGCCAAGTTGGCGCAGTTTGATGAACACTGGCAGACAAAAGAGCAAGCAATCGTTGATCAATCACGGACGGGTAAGCTACTCTTGAGGGTTAACAGCCAGTCTCACGAGGTCGGTGATAAGACGTATGGGTTACTTCTGGGAGAGTGACAGAAGCAGATAGGTTCATGATAGGCTCAGATTCAATCTGTAGTATAATATGCCTTGTAAGCTCCTCTGGATACTTCGTTTACCTGGTGATCTATCTTCGCTCCCTAAGAATGCAGCGTCAGGAAGCTGTTAACTTGCTTTCTAGCGAGACTAAATGTGATTTGAGTGGATTTAGAAGAGTGAAGGCTCTCGACTTTGTTTAGGGATCGGAAAAGATCAAACTGTCATAAGTAAAACGTTTGACCGAATCGAGAGCCGATCACGGTTTGCACTCTTTGGAGTCGGACGCTGCCGTCAAGTAAAAATCAAGCGTCAAGTAGGCACAAGTATTCGGGTCCTTGACAAAAGCGAATGCATTCGATTGTTTCAGATAAAGAGGTTCCAGTAAACAAGGGGGAAATTTCAAATGGATGCATTTGTTTGTCATTGAAATACAGGCTTAGAAGTGGATGCGTAAATTTAACAGTGTCTTGTGGCGAGTGTGTCTGCGTACGAGTCCGAGCAAGCCTTTTATCCGTTGAGCGTTGGACTCGCGCACTCACATCAGGAGACGACAATTTCAAACATTTGAAATGAGGTAATACGCATATCCCAACTGGCATGGGAAGGCAATGGGATCCTTCACACCAAGTAAACGTTACCTGGTCCAACAAACGATGTCATGCAACAAGGCAGAGGGACACATGCGAGGCTAAATCGATATGATGTGAGTGTTTATGTGATAATGACGTTTACAATCGAAACTATTATCGAGGAAGCATCGCACGATTGCCATAGAGACTGAAACTCACGACCGTTTGGTTGGTAGTTGAACCTTACGCCATTTGGACTACACTAACCAGCAGTTATCGTCTAAAGGCACTTAGCTTCGCTTGCATTTGCTCAGGCAGTTTCATGTGTCTCGCAGTTGACTAACTTCTTCGGTGACGACATCCCAGAAAGAAGACTCATGCCGTTTGTGTGACAATTTCTTCACTAAAAAAGCTGCCTAGATGATGTAGTTTTGTAAGGAAGCTGTGGAGTATCAAATCGTAATCTGGGTTTAAAATACACATAGGGAAACAGCAAACTCACTTGTAAATCCACCTCATTTTCAATAAGCCCGTTGATTTGAAGCAGTTGGTATTGCGGATGCTTGAGGTCGTTCACATCAACTCGCAAACTTCCCAGAATATCCATCCAGTTGTACGTGGAATAGGCCAAACGTGAAAGGTTGACACTTGCATTCGGTTGACGAGCATACTCAGCAGCTTTTGCGATTTGACGCATTGCATCTACGGGAACGTTTGGATCGAGTACGATCAAGGCGACCGGCTGTTCATCTTCGTCCACCTAGATGTAAGTGAATGGTTAATGTGCCTGATTACATTCCTATTTCAAGCAAAGGCCATTCATGGGAACGGCCCAAGGAGCTCTAGTTAGAGGAGACCGTTCAATTTAGCAACCATAAACCGAGTAACATACGCGCATTGGTTCCAGATGTTACAGTCTCGATTACCGGGAAAAGGGAGGGTATGGGACATACAACGAAGCCTTAGATCAGGAATCAGTTACCTACGTACCGAAGGCGATAGCTTTGATACACGAGCGCCACTGACTGAGCGATCAAACCAGGACATATACTTCAGTTTTGATCAGTTGCCCTGTGACCCAGCTTTAAGGCTATCCTGATGAAAACTTCATTTGACATCCACAAAAACTAGCAAAATGGACCTTCTATCAGGGAATGCTTTAGGAGCACTGCTCCGAAGGATGCCCCAGACAATTAGGGCTAGTGTCTTTTAACACCAAACAATAGCATTGCTGAGTTCAACGACACTACATGTGTGACTCCACCGTAGGAAGGGTTTGTCAAGCTTGAATGAGAATATTGGGCCAAATTATGAGTTTTAAGTGTCTTACAGCAATGTGTGCGCCCAAAGGGGTTTCACCGCCCAGCAATACCCGGATAAGCGTTCTCGCAGGTGGGCGAGCAAATGCACGTAATCATAATCACATCCAACAGATGACATCCCTTGGAAGTACTACTTTTGGCTCTGTCAATATCAGTTCTTCTATACAGAAACGCTAGGCCGTCTGGAAGTGAGGAAACTGGTAATACAACTCTCCCACTGTTAAGGCACCAAACTTTTTCGAAAACAATGACAGACTACTAGTTGAACCCGACAAGAAGGTGGGCTTCCAGCCCCGCCCTGGGGCCTAACAATGCTCCCAGGGAATGAGACACAGTGCCTGTTGGGATCATGCACCGACAGCCAGAGAGAATGTGTTGAAAAGTTACGAGCGGGGACAGATAAGTGAGTTATTTGGGATGCATTAGGATCACACTCAGACTGATTAACAAGTCACGGGAGTGCACCCCAAAAAAAGAATTTCCGTGCAACCAGCAGGGTAAACGGCGTTGTTTTGCATCCCAGGGTTGGTTATGCTTGGAAAAGAAGTTCCGCTGCTTGCACTCTAGGCGTGCACACACGCATACATACACACCCTGCCACCCAGGTAAAATTTGTTACGGAATGAAACTACAAACTGACCATCGATGCATGCATCCAACGCATGACGAAGCACGTGAAACCCTTCTTTCGGACAAATAACGCGGGAACTAAGTGGTAACGTCAGAGTGCTAACAAGGATGTGAATTTCATTTAGCAATAAGCACACACTCGCCATTTTTGCAACAATGATCTCAGTGGTAGGAAATGACTCGCACATGATATGCCCATAGTTTTCGTGGTATCAATGATAAGTGCAACTCACCTCTACACCAATAACAACCCGACTGTGCCCTTCATGTTGCAAGACCATCGCGACGGAGAAAGTCTGCAGAAGAGAAACAAACCCAGTGTTGCATCCAAAATGGGTAACATGCAAATTCGCTTCCCTCAAGAATGACTACCTGAAGGGCCCGACACAAAATAGACTCCAATGTGGGGAAGGAAGTGAAATACTGGAAGAGCGAAAAGCGCACTGCTAATCTTGGCGGTATGTCACATTCCTTGAGCAGCTTGCAGCATTTGCTTTGAAATTGCCTGAAACATGTTCGAGTTCGATGTTGGATTTCTGTGTAAAATGGTTGACATGAATCATCAGCGTTTGCACTATCAAACTTGGGCGAGTGATTTCAGTCGTCGCTAATTACTAGTGGGATTACGTTGATGCATTCGTAAGGATAATTTTATTGACTGAAAGCGAATCTAGAGCAATTTATACCAGACCGAGCGAATGTGTAACCCGCTGCGACCTGCCAGACAGTCTCCCGTAGTCAATAACGTCAGGGTGTTTAACTGAAGGCAACTTTTCGGAAGGATCAATACGAATTCGCAAACGTAGCCGACAGTCTTCATGAATTTCAAGACCATGGAACAAGTCTGCATTGAATATCCCAAACTTAACCTATTCTGTAATACCGTACGGATGATTTGAAGAGACCAACCGCTCATATAGGCCGAACCACGAGTTCCCGACAATAATGGGTTCCTGTGCCGACATCCATCTATCATCGAGTAGTCGCAATGCGGGACTAAGGTTCAGGAACAAATAACATATACGGCGCCTTGCGGCCAAAGTGTGTAAACAGTGGTATCTCGGGTGGGTTAATTGGCTGTTGTGGCAGTTGATCTGTTCGCCAAGCTTCACAATTGGCTTGCAAACTTTTCGTCACACGCGGGGAGACATCGTCAGTGCGCGGATGAGTGACCCAATGGCACACTGAGGAGGTCCTCTGGACCTGATCAACAGCCCAAGACAACTTGCGTTGGTGTGCTGAAAATCCGTCTTCGACCGGTTGGACCCATTCTCAAATGAATCTGATTCACTTGAGCCGATTTCATGAAAGCTATCAAGTGAGCAGCTTTCAATCCAATCAATATCATGTGTAACAAGACGCAGTAAAGTTGGATGACGTCAGAAGTAAGACGACACCGACGCTGATAGTGGCAAGACTTATCACCATTTTGGCTTCACAGCGCATATCAGACACAAGAATCAACGAAGGTCAAACAACCGTTTGTGTTACACTTCTCACGAGCCGTGTTGTGAATTTGCAAATGACTACCTTTAGAAGCCTGGTGGCCACTTCAGAAGAAAACAGAACTCTTAGGTAATCGGCCCCAAAAACTCAAAAATGGTCTCTTCCACACTACTCAACAGGCAAGTAGACACACAAGCTGACGTATCGCTTATACCAGCTACACAAGAACACGCAGACGATGTAACAGTATGACAGCTTACCAATCGCTAGTTATCACTGAGGTGGACTAAAAATAGTTGGATCCCATTGTCTGGTAAAAATGTCATTTATCGAAATAGCTCAGTGGTTAAGGCGCGAATTCAATGATCAGAAGGTGCGCGATTCGAACTCAACCTCGGCATCTCAATTGCTCCTACCTGTAGCTCAGTGTTAAGGCGCGAATTCAATGATCAGAAGGTGCGCGATTCGAACTCAACCTCGGCATCTCAATTGCTCCTACCTGGGCCTGAGAAACCTGACAGTACCGACCTGTTTCGGGTATCATAGCAGCTAAGCACTGAAAGGGTGTTACAGCTGAAAGATTGTACCAACTAATTTACCTGTGAATATGTGGTCCCTAATCAATGACTTTCGAAGTATCCAGCGGAAAAATCACCCGCAGTGATAATCAGAGGCGTTTCATAGCTATTTTGGAACCATGGATAGGAACAGAGACTTACCTCCAAGGAAGTGCTGCTACTTCGTCCAGTGACAATGTAAGAATGGACATGTTCAAGCAATCTGAAAAAAAGATAGTCGATTGGTTTGGCTTATAACTAAGCCTACATGCCACAGTGGCTAGTGTTGGGACTACTTGTGACAACAGATCTACTAGGTGCTTTGATCGAACTGACCGCTGACTTGGTCGGGCAGTCTATCAGTGGATAGATGCATCAACCAATTAGGGATCCTTCCGAAAACCAAGCCGTAGGTTCAAAGACCAACCGCGTGATTTTAGCAGATGTAGCTAATTCCAAAATAACTCAGCCACATGAAGCCTTTCGCCATTTTTGGTACCCACTGGACGAACATGGATGGGATCACGTGAACTGCGATCAGCAGTCACAAACTGTTAATCTAAAGACTTGGATGGGATGGAAAACCGCACAGCTGAGGTATTCCGAGAAACCATGTTTATCAACAACCTCGTTGTGTTTACGAAAGTCTGTGAACAGCTTGAAACTCGTGGGCGGATGTGCAAGTTGTTCTTGGTATCTTGTGGTCACTATCAGGTTCTGTACCATCAGTTGACGAACTAGCTAGTTTCGCTTTTACCATTCACACTAAACGAAAAAAGGCCTAACTGTTCCTCTTCTGCAATGTAGGTTTTCATCCGTGATGAAAATGTTAGAATAAATATGACCAAAACAATAAGGGTTTTTATCCTCCACTTTCAGAGATTGAACCATCGACAGAAAAAGCAAATGCGGATGCCGAAAGCCACATAGTCTTGGAAACTAACAAGGTCGGATTGATTCGGAGCGAGAGTCTAGAACATTTTCGGTCTTCAATGAGGTTAATTTCGCTACATCTGTTTTTTTTTAAAAAAACTGTTGTTACAGTCTAGGGCAGACCAAAAGAGATAGCCGCTCCCAACAGTGCGCTACATTCAAATGCGGTAGTCTTGTGCCCTATATGAAAAGCCCTTGGCGAACAAAGAATTGCTACTTGTAGGGGGTGATACTCAGGGATAATCATGGCGACAGTATGAGCAAGTCCGGGTGCAACACGACTGAGCTCAAATTGTGGTAAACACTCTTATCGTGTGAAAAAATCATTAAAGCGTTGGAGATCTGTCTCTGTGTGAGGGAGCGTACTTCAAAGCATACTAACTGCCAACGTTACACCGTATCAGTGAGATGTGCTCTTCCTATGCCGAAAACATAAAGGCAAAATTGTCCTCAGCTCAACGCTTGAGGTTGTGAAGTGCTGATTCAAGCACTGTCCTCTATTTTAGGTTGCAGAAATACAAATAAGTGATGCCAATCCAGCCTTTTTAAAGTGTCCCACCATCTTCTACCACGGCGATGGTTCTCGTGGACGACAGAAATAGTCTATATGATGGGTCAAGCTGAAGAAATTGCAAGACAGTGGCAAACTAGCACTTCCTCGTATATTTCACGAAAGGCATTTTCTCCTATCCTCAATGCGAACAGCTGGCGTTCTTTGTAACTGATCTATTTTATGGTTGTTGGCATACGACATGAAAAAGTACGAAGTGTTCAAAGACAAGCACAAGGTCTGGATATGGCAGTCCAACACACAGCAATAATGAAGGAATGTTCAACCAAGCTGTCACACTAGGGTCTGGAAATACGACCAATCCCACCAGAAGGGAACGATATGCAAGCAAATCTTACTTGGGTAATCCGGTCTACCACGGTTGGAAGTTTGTTCGGGCCACATCTTAAGCAATCCCTTGGTTTAGGTCGTTGGGACACTTAAAATACACAAACAAGTGAAAGCACCTAGAAGGGATTACTTGTCTAGGTGGCTAGACTTAGACTTGACCTCATCTGCCGAAATCGCTAATTTGCTCCCCAGATGATCGCCATCGGATCATATCACCCAACAGCTAGACGAGGAGGACCGGAGACCTTCTCATCGAAGCGCAGTAAATGCGTCAGTTGACAGATCAACGTCGTATCAGATAGGGCATCACAGACTATTAACAATTCATTAGACATCCAGCCAATTGGTAACAGCTAACGTACACACCTAGCTGGTTGTTGCGTACAAATAACTTAAAATAGGACCCAATCTTATGTGTCATTCTGTCAATTTGACGTTACAAGTTGGGAACTAACGTCCACCGTCAAATAGTCACTAAAGATGGAATTGTAAAATATTCCGGCAAACGGATAAACTCAGACGATGAACAGAACAACTGACTGGTGTGCGCACACCCACTCAGGCATAATATCGAGATGATTCAACTGGAATAAAGTACCTCGGATGGGAATCGTTTGGTCCAGACGGTGCTCGACATTCGAGCAAGGAACATCGAACACCAATCGACCCGAAAAGGCTGACTAGATCAGAGGCACCCAACCATGCCGTACTATCCACTAAGCCAACCAGATTTCTTTCGTCTGTAGACTGCGCTGCGCCGTAAGGTTGTGATGGATCCGTCGTCCGAAAACCCGATGATCTGAGAGCGGAAGCCAACTGCGATGCACCAACCGGATCAAAACCAAGCGTCCAGGCAGATTCCAAAAGAGCTTGAAGTTTCCACACGGAGGGCATGGCTGACAGGGCTAGGAGTGCAACAAAAACATCAACATTGAGCCCAGGCTAAAAGCACGGAGGGAATCGTAAAAAAACTGTAGACGAAATGGATGCCTCTGAAGCCACCGGATGCACATTCAAAAGTACACATTTCCATGAAATACGGAAAGGACACTTGATATTACCAGCTAAGGACCCAAACAACCAGATTGTTGGTGAACAGTCAAGTTATTCATCCAACTATTCACCCGACCTATCTGGCTAGGAGTTCCCGTCTGCTGTCCCAATGATCCGATAAACACCCAGTTCCGAAGAATGGAAAACCTTGTGTAGCTGCGTTTCTCTGGATCTCAGCAGGCCTTCGTCTGACTAACAAAACTAGAGCTGGTAGGACAGTCTTTCCGGTACATTCACAGGCTTGAGTCCATTAGCATGCCAAAACTACAAGCGATCGTGTGACCTAAAATGAGAAATCGTTGTATCCCAACTTGGGACAACTCTGTTAGCTGAAAAAAGTAAAGTGCACCCTTCCTGAGTTTCAGACCCTCGTTACAAGGAAACTGCTATCGAGTTTGTTGACGAAAAGAGAATAATCAAACGTTGAACACTGAGCTAGTGTCAACACACACACCGCATCCGAATCACGTGATGGTGCGTGAACGAAAGTGATAATGGAGGCGAGCTTGAATGGCATGTATATCTCGAAGCACGGAATGATTTGCAACTTTTAGACTAAAATACCCACGCAATTTTACATAATCCACGGGCCTTAGCCAGTCGGATCACTTTTATCCACGTTTCTCGTCGAATGGTATTCGGGAGAAATAACTCACTCTCGATAGATGAACTGATCACATTGCAGAGATTGCGCTGGCTTGGCCATGTGCTGAGTATACCAGATGACCGGCCTCCTCGAAGGGCTCTTTTCGCAAAACCACATGAAGGGTGGAGACGAGCCAGAGGCGGCCAAACAATGACTTGGCAGCGAAGTATAAAGGCCGTTACCAGCAAACTCAGCTGCGCTGGTCATTGCCGTCTTCCTGTATAGGGACCCCGAGACGGACCGAATCAATGGTTGGAGACATTGTCAGACATGGTCCAGTCGTGCTCTCAGTGGCGCTCACGCATCCAAGTTATTGCCTTCAATGCACAGCTCCCTTTCCAACTTCCTCACTTAAAAGTCCATTGACAGTGTTTTATTTACGCACCAATTTATCAGCTCCCGTCTCAAATGCGCAGCTACCTACCGCACCTCCACAAATCATCGGTGAACGAAACTGTTGCAGCTACAACCAATGTCCGACAAGTACGCGGCTATTACAGCTGACAGTGATGATGACGATGATAAGAGTGCGTTTGATAGTGTTACTTGGCTATTTTTTCGCATAGGCAAGACAAAGTCATTTGACTCGCTCTTTCACAAGTTTGGCCGTGTTGTGCATCCCATAAGAGCAACGAAAAATGTAAATGAGGACGCACTCCAAATCACTGGTGCAAAATGAATCAACATGTGAATAGCGGTGTGTGTGTGTGTGTGCGTGTTTGCACCCAATGTCATAGGTAATTTGTTCCATTTGATGACTGACCCAGGCAATAGATAAGATGTGTGTAAAAAGTAGAGTATCGAATTGTCCTGGAGACATGATTGTGCAAAATATGCCACGCTAACCAGTAAGGATAAATTCGTGGAATTATGGTCGAACAGTACATAGCTCACGAATAAGCACATGTATTTCTCGCAATAAAAAAGCCATGGTGGACAGTTTTCATTAACCTTATAGTAAAAAGGGCGCTAGGTCCTGTCTAAGTGAGAGTTAATCCCATTGCAGACGAGCCAGTCGTATCCAAACGGTTAAGTGTCCAACTACTGGCCAGAAAGTCGCAAGTTTCGTGACATTATTCCCAACAAAGGCGGAACGGCTATACATTGCTTCTCGGCTTTTCAGGATAGATAGACTTCGATGACAGGATGAAAGATCTATTGAAAAGATAACACCAATCACTTATCTGTAACATCTTCGGGTGTCTAGCTGCTATGCTACCCAAAGGAAGCCCTAGGGCTCAGATACCGTCAGGTTACCCGCACCAACACAGGAGTTGGGTTCGAACAACGGACCCTCCGCTAAGTAACTTCGGGCATTCACCGCTCAGTGAGGTCTCAGTGACCCCACATTAACTTTATATTATGACGTCATTAGCCCCATATGTAGTATGATATAACGGGAGCCCTATCTTAAATTTATGCTCCAACACAATAATAATTTTACAAGAAATCTTTTAAAATTGAACGCATTACCGGATTTTAAAAAGCAGAAAATGTGAAAGCTGATCTATCCTGAAAAATTCATGCAGAATGTTCATAACCGGAAGAAGTCCGGGGCTCTTGCGAGTATTTCACTGAGATCGGAAGTACAGTGGTTCTATATCGGGGCGACATGGCCTAAGTGGTTAGGGCACGAATTTACTAACCGGAAGGTCCGTGGTTCGAATCCGACCTCCGCCTCTCGACTTTCCCTGTATAGGCTTGGGCAACCTGGCAATATCCCAGCCCTCGTGCTTCCTTCGGGTGGCATGGCCGCTAGGCACAGGAAGGGTGTTACAGCTGAACGCTTTCTTTCTTCCTATTATCATGTTTTTTTTCAAATAAATCCCAATTAAGTAGGCTGTTTGATCAAAGAACCAGTTGCAAATAGGATGTTTCCGGCAAACACACTTCAGGTATGACTAGTTTGGAGCGTCTTCCTACTGTCCAAGTGTAACTGAACTGTACTGGAGATCATCGGCGGTGTATACTCTTAATCATGTCAGGAATTCAACTCTGGGTTCCTGACATGCAAGATGGAAAGGTTGCCACCACTCCATCAGCGAAACCTGAACGAACATGAATAATCACGTGTGGGAAAGCGAACATGTTCTCACATGATGTAATGTAACGACTTGAGCTGTCCAAAGTGTGAGACAGTTCTCGCTCAAAAAGGACATTAGTCCCTGATGTCATCTTATCGGGTTGTGGTGTCCCAGTCATGAGTGATTTGCACTGAGTAATGAACTGCCCTGTCCACAATACTCCCTATTTTGTCGTGAGCTGTTGTGTGGTTTGGAGAATTCACATTCACTTAATTCTTGTTTGACCAGTTATTCCCCTATTGTGACCCAATTCTTCTGGATATTCCATACCAAACAGAAAGACCACATTTTGTTATGACTAGAGTTAACCGGCAATGCATATCCCTGAGCATGCTGGGGTTTCAATTTCCGATATCTCACTTGCATAAAAACGTTTGCCTGCACCCAGGTGGTAATGCATGCGTACGTTGAGTCGTGTTGAGCCGGTCAACTCGGATGTCAGGCTTCGGAGTTCAGATCCCAGCACTGCTGAACAGCTCGAGTAGAGGCAAACTTGAGTTCACTGGTTCCCCGGTTTGATGTCGACTAACCACAATAATTCGGCTACGAAAGGAGGATGTTCAAACGAGAATATCACATGCTCTTTCACGGGGATTGGTTAGACTAAACCACTCAGAATTCCATCAAACCATGGCTCATTCAATCCGGTGACAAAATTAAGTGAAAACCTGCAATCAGAAGCTTTGCAGAGAGGAAATCATGCACTACGGTGTTTCCTGTCGCTAGATGTATCGCCTTACATCCCTTGACCACACATAATGCCTGTCGGAAGAAGTGGGGAGCATCCAAACAACTCACCTCCAAACAAGCGCTTTCGAAAATCAGGCAGACGAAACAAGGAGGATAGTATGCACTGCGCATTTCTGTAGCAACAGACAAAGCTTTCCTCCCATGCCTCTGAAGCAAAGTGATCACAGTCGACAGATACGAGGCGCCAACGGTTGTTCAACCAGCCATGAAGCATAAGCTGACGCAGGGAGGATATGATGCCTAAAGAGAGGAAGGATACAAAAAGTGATGAGTGCATTGATGAAGAGAAATGATGGTTAAAACCTCAAGAGAATGGAGTGCAACTAGTTAAGGGAAACCCATATGTATATGGTCTATTCAAAGATGATATTTCTAACCGGACTGGTAAGACTAGACCAGTTTTTGTGAAACTGCATCGCCTGCAGCGCAGGCGTGATGGCAACTTATCTGTCAGGGGTCGAGTTTACACTGTTGCGGTGCGCTTCATATTATATGGATTAGAACCTTGGCGGCTGCGCGCTGGGAACGTTAAAAAACTTTGTGTTTGGCCGTCGATGTCTTCGGACCACTGCCCGAGTATGGTAGGAACACTGGATAAGCAATGCTGAAGTACATCGAATAGGTTTCGGAAGAAATAACTCGCACACGAAAGATGGACTGATCACACTCTATAGGTTGCACTGGATTGGTCACATGTTCCGTATTCTGGTTGGCCGACCTCGTCGAACAGCCATTTTCGCACAACCACGCGAAGGATGGAAACGAGCCAGAGGAGGTCAAGCAATGACCTGGCAACGAAGTATGAAGTCAATTACTAGCAAACTTAGCTGTGCTGATCGTTGCCGTTTACCTGGATGGAGACCCCGAGACAGAACACATCCATGGCTAGGGACATTGACAGACTTGCCCAAGTTGCACACTCAATGGTGCGCATGTGTTCATGCTGTTGACTTTAATGCATAGTTTCTCCTCCGGAAATCCTCATTGAAAATTTTACTGACACCTCCCTATCCATAAACTAACTATATAAGCTATCGCCTCTAATGCATAGCTACCTATCCCTACCTCCCGAAATCATTGGTGATCAAAACTGTGGCAGATATGACCACTGTACGACAAGCGGAAGATGATTATGGCGATGGTTGCCCAGATCGGGAAATAGGATCCAGTTGAGGTAAGCCACCTTGGGCCTTTCCTTTAAAGGTTTGACAAACAAGACAGTGAAAGAGTGTACGGTTTTGCTTAAGGA